ATAATCTTTTAGACTCAGAATGGATAGCCAGGGACCCCTCTCTGACCAAGAAAACTCCTTATTACTTTGATGAAACCACAGGAGATTCGATGAAAACAACTTGGTTGAATTTGGAAGAAAGCTTAGCCGAGATCTATGGTTGTTCAACTCGAGTTCTTCTTCCTAATCAACCATCTTATCACGCCACTCATGTGCGACCCTTAAGTCCAAAGAATTGGAGCCTGGGCGAGGGGCGGAAAAATTTAGTGCGGAAGTGGAAAGTGCGGAAGTCCATACAGATGTACAGACTGCTCTCAAAGAGCACCGTCCAAATTGGGAATGTGGTTGCGTTCAAACTCGTTTCATCCTCAGTACAGTCTAACCCGCGCTGTTGTATACCCGCGCATATGCATATCCAGCCAAAATGCATAGGTTTTGGTCTCCACCACGCTGGTGCGGGCCAAAACAAGATTTTAATTGCATATTGCATGATGCATAGGGTCAAAGCAAAAAAAATCATATCTTGGAAGCGGTATTGCATAGGTCAAACCCAGTGATGTGGCGGTGATACTGACAAAAAGCAACAGCAGTTGTGCTTTGGAATGATCAGCAAAGTGATATCACCCACCTCACACGATCTTCGGCTCCCTTAGATCAATTTGCATCTTTTTTCATCATGTCTGCTACTGAAAACAAGGAATTAGCTCACATAGAGGGCACTGGTACAGCTTCTGGTCTCAAATTGGACAACTCTTTGCAGAAGTATGCCGAGATGCTTGAGTCCGAGCTGTTTTTTGGTAACAAAAAACAAGTGGCAATAACTGATTTCTTCCAACGTGTGACTATATCTAACACTTGATTATCGATAGCCTTCAAAAATACTTCAATTTCTTTCTTTTTGTACATGTCGTACCAAATAAGCACAAGTCCTCAAAAGTTATTGTTTGTTGACTGTTTTTTGTAACACATTGTACTTGATAAAGCATGTTCTTGAAAACAATGGTTTTTGTTTCTTTCTGTACATATCGTACTAAATAGACAACAAATGTCCTCAAAATTAAACACTTTCTTACTGAAGTTTTCCCACCTTCACCCTCTCTTGTCCCATATGGGTGGGGTAATACAATAACCGTACTAATGCATAATTCTATGCAATACACCCCAAAATCTAAATGCATATTTTTATGCATTTTGGGGGTGTAGGTCAAAAAGCATAACCCGTCTAATTGCATAGGAAAGTGAGTCTCCCCAAATTATGCATTAGCGCGGGTTAGACTGTAGAACGATGAGCAATGAAAACAACAAAGAAAATGAGTACATACAAATGTTGAAGACAAGCTAAACAACATGAATCTGTGCAAAGAGATAAGGAACCAGAACATCTCGAAATCTCGATTCTTGACAAAGCAATCAATGTTTTTAAAAGATCTCATCTCTATTCTTGACGTCTATTTCAAGTTCTAATTTTTTGGTCAGAAATCAATTCAGACCCATATCGATCTCGTTCAAGATCCAACAGTCTATTTCGATTTTTTTGTATGTATCATCAAATAAAACTTCATTCTAATAAGCTTGTCAATCTCATTTGAATCAATGTCAGTGAAAGGATCAAAAATCAATATTGTTTAAATCAATCAGGCTCTTCCAAATCCTAATGTGATTCAGTTCATTCAAAATGTGTGGATATACTCGATTTGATTGTAATCGATTCTTCCAATCGATTAATATGTAAGACATACTTACAAGTCCTGATCAATAAGTAAGAGTGATAACAAGGTAATCATATAATCGATTTGAGTTTGATTATGATCAATTCTCCAATCGATTCTCCCAATCAATTATAATCACATAAGATAAACTTTTAAGATAATCACAATGATGAATTCAAGAGTTATAAGGACTGAGATCAATGATAGAATCGAAGCCCATTGAAAAAAACTACACTCATAAATTCAACATATCAACCTTGGATCAAATCAGTGAGTTGATACAACAACTATCATCTGGATTAGGTGGGGCAGGTACAAATCCACCAGTGTCATATGGATCAGAATATTCGCATCCTGTCATTAAAGGAATATCTTCATGGGAAGATTCGTGTGATGGTTCTGAGTGACGTGCAGTAGGAAATGATAAATGGTGTTCTTGAAATGGATTGGTACCGTGGGCCAAAGAAGCCTGTAGGCGAAGTGAGAAAGGATTTAATTAGTTCTTGGACATATAGAGAGATTCAATACGTCTTATAAGAGAATACAAGAAAAGGTATAGCATTACATAATGACTGGCTGGGTGCTGTGAAGACAGCTGAAGCACTTAAAGAGACACTCTATGAGATCGAATGACTTTGAGAGTTGGACCAGAATAAGGTGAATCAATAGTTGAATGATGATGAGTTGTAGTAGTAATAGGTGTTTGTTCAGCTTCTGAAGGTGCTAATGAGATGATGTTTACTTTATAATAGTTGCTATTGGTAAAAGTTAAGGTGGGTGAAGTACTTGAGCTAGGCTTGTTGTTCTGACTACCAGTTGAGCTGATATTACTAGAGTTGTGTTCATTGATGGTAGTTTTGGTAAATTTGTTGTATTCGGTCTGTAGATGAGAATGAAATCAAACGAGTCAAAAGAATGGGACCCAAGAGATGAGTCGTTCAGTAAGAAAATCAGGTGGTGAGTTGATGGCATCAACTCACCACCTGATTTTCTTAATTGGCGTGAAGTGATGAAGCGTGCCTTGATTGTCGTTCTTTTTTTTTTTTGAGGCAATGTTACAACCAAACATTCATCATCAATTGACCGTTTTTGAAGTATGAGTTTGCGTTGTGATCCCTCTTGGAGATGAGCCTGAATGCTGTGTGTCCGTGCTTGCCAACAACCTTCCTGAAGGTAACTTGATTTTATGTTGACCAGCCATCTTTGGACAAGAATCTTTTTACGGGAGCCAATTATTGTGTGGGGGTTCTCTCATGTAACCATTTCTTTCCTTGCAGGTATGCGCCACTCCGCCTTCGCGGCGCTCGCTCTTATCGTCTCTTAAGTGCTGATTGTAAGAAAAACCTTCCATCGAGGCCCTTGTTTGTAGTTGGGCAAGAATCCCTCTGGAGCTGTTCTGGACCGGACTTCGAAGGT